AATAGGAGTAGCCTGGCGGATGAAAGTAGTAGCTCGTGCATATCTCTGAAGGTCATGAAATATAAACCTGATGTAAAATCTCTGTCATCAGTGATGCAGCAGCAAAAGTCCCACTGATAATATCAAACGGAGTCATAAAGTTTTCTGTCGGACTATCAGTGTACATGTATACATTAAAAAATAAATGTATTTTTCATCATCATATACTGTGTTTTTGTCGCGTGAATGAATTTTATTATTTCTTCAAGGTTCTTCACATACGTACACCTTAAGAGATATCAAGTAGGCGTAACATGTTCTCAAAAAATTAGGGTTGGCACGCAGAAGAATTTTGAGAAAGAGATTTTGCTGGTTTTGGCACGCACTCACAAAAAGGTTGCCCACCCCTGCTTTAGAGATTGAAAGTAGTGCTTGCTCACTGCATTTTCTTTAAAGCTCCCCAGGAAAACTGAATATGCAGACATGGGTTGAGAGCCACTATTCCACATTTCTTGGATTAAAAAATAATCTCTTTACCTAATTCAGCAGTCAGCTTTTTGGGGACAAGGACATTGTTCAGGACTGTGTTTCATATCCCTAGTAGAGAGCCAGGTCATAATGAGCAGTCAATAAGTGTTGGATGAATGAAATCATGTGCTAAGTTTTCTAAGTTGCTACCCAACTTCTAGAAAAATAGCTCAGAAATTAAGCTGAACTGAAAAGTAGAAACAGCTTTAACTCAACAAAACAAAACATGAAAACTAGAGAAATCTTGTCAAAGGTCCCAACCTGTGGAGTCAGTAGGGAGTGAAGGAGGAGGCTCTAAACTCAGCACTCAAGTTTGTGAAGTTCAAAAGATTCTGGAAGTCCATCATCATCTAGAGCCAGGGAGCAGGGAGGACACAAGAGAAGACCAGGGAGCCACGTGTGTAGCTCAGAAGAGGAAATGATGACCTGAGGACCCATATCTAGGCTTAAAGGAACAGAGGTTCTCCCAGATCTAATGAATGTCCAAGAATACCTCAGGCAAGAAGCTTGAATATTAGTTTTTTTGGTTTGTTTGTTTGTTTGTTTTTGGTGTTGTTGTTGTTATTGTTAGTTTCTAACCCAAACAAGTGTAGATTAGAAATTACCTAAGCATAGGTGTTCACCAATTTAACCAGGCTAACAATGATTTATCTAGGATTACAAATTTTGTAATAAGCAGGGTTTTTTTTTGTATGTTTTGCTTTTATAGATTTGAGCTCTATTGAGGCCCAGAGAGGTTAAATTACTTACCTAAGCTAAATGGTTATGATGTGGCCTAGCTGGCATTTGAAGGGTTAATGAATGATGGAAATTCAAAACAAATGACTGCTCTGTGGGTCCACATTGTATCCCTATAACATCAAGGGTCCCTCTCTTGCCTCTCTATTCACACTCACATTTTCAAGAAGAATCCTCTGAGATAAAGATTTGAGCACTAGTTTATTATCTTAGAAACCATTTCTCTTAATAAAAACTGTATTAAAATATTGGCTCAGTTATGGTTTTTCCCCCACCTATGGGCATTTTCCACAAAAGTTCTTATAATCTGCAGTAGGTTCATCCTTAAAAATCCTCAACCTTTAGCAAATACCTTAGTACCATGTAAACAAAGATACAGAGAAAGAACAATTTCTTATAAAAAAATTAAAGTAAATTTACTTGCTTACTTTGTGCAGAAAGAACCAGAAATTACAGGCTGTGGGATTCATTCTGTGCCCTTCAGTATGTTTCATATTATGACACAGTTAGAGATTATCTATTCTTCCTTCTAGTTCAGGGGTGGGCAAACTTTTTGACTCGAGGGCCACGATGGGTTCTTAAACTGGCCCGGAGGGCCGGAACAAAAGCATGGATGGAGTGTTTGTGTGAACTAATATAAATTCAAAGTAAACATCATTACATAAAAGGGTACGGTCTTTTTTTTTTTTTAGTTTTATTCATTTCAAATGGGCCGGACCCGGCCCGCGGGCCATAGTTTGCCCACGGCTGGCCTAGGCCCTAGGCGGTGCTCTGCTTTGACTCTCTGGAAAGATTATAGGAAAGAAGTGAGCCAAGGTGGGACTGCTTAGCTCACTGGAGAGTCAGAGAAAAGGGACCTTGGATACAGGATCAGGGGGTCAGCCTGGAAGGAGCTGCTGCTGCCTGCTGCTTCCCTGGTTGCAAGTCTCTGTGGGGACCCACAGAGTTTAGGAGAAAGAAAGGCCCCGAGACTATGATTCTGAAAAGTTATTGCTTTGTAAACAATCCATTCTTTCAATATTGTCAAATTTGTCTTTTTGCCCAAAAAAATTTATAACAAATATTACATATTGTTCTGTTTTTACATTTAATATAATTAAAAATGAACCTATACAAATGACCTTAGCAACAATATTTCAACAAATATTCCAACAAATATTGCACTGAAAGACTTTTCACAACACATAGTCAATAAACAAATTAAAATATAATAAACTTATATAAAGTCTCTGTGTCTGATTATCAATTAAAATCCAATTATTTCTTTATAGTTTAAAAAATAGTCCAACTATCTAAATAAGCCAAGAAATATCAGATACACATAGGACTAATAAAATTTCTTTCCAAAGTTTAAAATTAACAGAACATTTCGGGCTACATATTTATAAAAGGTTAAACCTTTAATTCAATATTTAAATAGAAAATTTTTTAAAATACTCCCCAAATAAAATCCTAACTTCAAAATAGGATGTATAAATCATCATTACTATATGGTTTTTATAGCCATAATAAATATTGATAAAATATAGATTAAGTAGCACTGGTTTCCTTCATGAAAAGGAAAACTAATAATTTTAAAAGGTGCTTTTCATGTATAAATTCCAGAAGACTTGTTTTTCAGAAGACATGAAATAACTAATGGTTTTCCCTGCAGACCTATTTTAGGCACAAGCTTATATATAAACATACATGTGTCCATTCAAAAAATGTGATATTTCAATTAGAGTCCCGGTTAATTGGTACATAGACAGATACTTTGAAAGTCACGAGGCCTTATTATGACCTTCATGTATGCTGATGGATGCTGGACTAACAGCTTCAGAGAAAGAAACACCTTCACGGAAAAGGGGCTCCTTTGTCCACCTTGGCTACAATATTTCAGCCTCCAGTATTTCAGCTTCCATTCTGAGGCCCTGAAACTGGGTAGAGAGGGGCAGATAGAACTATCCAGAAGTCACCAGAGCCATCACAAAGAATGAAACAGTCCCTCTGGGCATTGACTGGGTTCTAAAGGTTGTCCTGAAAGCAAAATTCTTAGCCTCTATTTTATCTTTTATAGAAATGTTTTGGAAATTAATGCTGTTTTAATAAAGCCACATCTACATCTTAATTAGTAATACAACAGACTCTGTGTATGTATTTTCACTCTCTTCAATATTCATAGTATAGTTCCTTGAGATTCAAGGTTGATCTTGGCCTAAACAAAACTAAATTTGCAGAAATGTTAGCTTTTTTAGAACTAATTGGACAAGCAGGCAGTCACTCCTGGAGTGTTTTCTGAGCACTGTGGAGAGTGCTTCTGACCACCAAACAAATCTGTGACTCATAAGGAGGATCCCTGACTCTTGACTCATTTCCTTCCACGGAAGCGTGGCCCTTGTCCAAGTCATTAGCTATTTTATATAGTCCTTAAATAATAATAGTTTTAAAATCCATTGTGTGCACCAGCAGATATTTTCTATCTCACAGTTGTTAACAAAGGGATTTTTTTTTTAAACAGACCAGGACATAAATTGAGCAATCTCTGAAGTAGCATCATTTATTGTTTCTTCCTTACTTTTGCCTGGATGATCTGAGTTTTAATTAAGTTCTTTCTTCTCTCTGTACTCTCCCATCTTCCTACTTCTGTAATAACTTTTCCATTGTT